GCCCAGCTTGTCCAGATCTACTAGATGGTTTTTGTTGATTATCCAAAAATTGTGCTATGGGGTCTACTGTTCACAGGATTGATTGGGGGTAGGCAGGACTAAAGTGCAAGCAGACCTTGTGGTTGAGCCCAGGGTAGACATGGGATGGGCCTAGGGCTCATCTAGAAGATGACCCATTCACCTGGGGCTCCCTAGGCTTCTCGGAAGGCTTGGTCTTAGCCTTGGGATAGCTGCTTGGTTTTGTCCACGGGCAGCTACCCTCCCAGGATGGTGGCAAATGCACTTCTGAAGACCTATGAGCAAAGACCCATACACAGCTCAGCGAGCCCTCACCCTTTCCAGACCGATCCTTGTAAACACCCACACCTGTCCAGAGAGCAATGGCTGACTAAATACTTGTTGGGTTGGGCTGCAGTCAGCTGAGGCACGGTTTGATGGGTGAGTGGGCTGGTCAGCTCCCGATCTGTTTCACCTTGGAATGGGTATTTTGGGACTCAGCTTTACAGAAGAGCCAGGCCAGAGCTGAAGCTGCAGGAAAAGGAGGCAGGAGGAGTAGGGCAGGAAGAGAGGCTCAGGAGGCCCAGGAAAGGCTCTGAGCTTAGGAGGCAAAGGCAGCTGCTGTTGTGGAGCCTGAGTCAAGGCTGTGCTGATTCTGTCAGCTCCATATCTGCTTCTCTGTAGAAGAGGATCCTGGAAAGTGGAAGAGGTTCCTAACTCCTCCTGTCTTACCTTTCAAAGACTCCAATGAAAACAACAGACCCATGATCGCCTCTGCCCAGATAACTTTGAAGGACAGAAGCTAGGCTGGTCCCTCTGCTGTTCCTGGTCATCCTTCACGTATCACTCTCCTGCTCAGCACACAGACCTGGTGCTCACTGGGCTTGAAAAGAGGCACAGTGGCGTTGCCCTTAAGACATTTTGTTCTCATCGGTGCAGCCCCTTTGTGCTGGGGAATAAACAATCCCACTGCACTTGCACATCCAAGGAAAGCTGAACTGAAGTCACAACAAGTTGCATTCTCCTCTCTCTCTCTCTCTCTTTCTCTCTCTCTCTCTCTCTCTCTCTCTCTCTCTCCCCCCGCCACCCCACCTCCCTACCTCCCCGCCAGGAGCCATCTCATAGCTGTCTTGAGGTTTTTACTTATTTGGAAAACGCTTAAAGATTTCCCCCTCCCTTCCTGCCTCTGCATCTGAGTAGTAAAAGGGCTATTATGGATCCTCTGAAACCTCCTGGAAGGCTGGCTGGCCTCCTTCTGTCGGTCTAGATGCCCAATGTGGGGCAAGGGCAGTTGAGCAAAGACTACAGGTCCTCATCCCCCTGGGAAAACCATCATCTCCCCTGGTGGCATTTCTTGGAAGGTGCTGTGACTGTAGTTGTCTTAGCAGTTGAGGGCCAGCCCTGGGTGCCCATCACTGGTCTGGGCCGTAAGGGACCAAGGTGCTGCTGCTTCACTCCTGGAGCAAGAAGGCTGCGGGCATCAAAACCCTCTGGGAGGCTCTGGTCTTTCTGTTTGCCTTCCCTGCTTAGCTCTCTTGGGTTGGGACTGGTACAGACATGCACAAACAAGAAGGACCTAATAAGGCTCAATTACCACATCAAGGTACTCGATTAATCATTCACAAAGTCTGGGCTGTGCAGGTGAGGGTTTCAGGTGCCAGAATGGGACTGACTGAGAATAGGAGCCTTCACCTGAGGCTTGTACTCACATTTCCTGCAGGTCATCCCTGTCCTGACCTCTATGGGGACTGGAGTCCCACTTGCCCATTGCCTGCCCGGAACCAGGTTTCTGAGTAGCCCATGTGAATGTCACCTCTGGGGCTATACAATACAGTAGTCCTAGATCTACTAGGAACCAAGGGGATGACTGATTGGTATGTCTAGTGGCCAAGGTTGCAGTGGGTATTGGTGGCTCTGGAGAAGACCACAGGGCTTGGTGGGCATTGTCCATCTATCTTTTCTGCTTCCAGCTTGAAAGCAAGGAGGTAGCAGGTGCCCCTGCTAGAAAGCTGCTCAGCTCTTCCCAAAGCTACTGTGCATCTGATACCCAGGCTTCCTGGGCCTTTCTGACCTAGCCTGGGCTTCTAGGCCACACCTGTTTGCTCACAGGCCTCTCCATGCACATTCCCCACCCCACACTTGTGCTTGCATCCATGTGACAAAGCTCTGGGTGCCTGCCCCTCTGCAGGCCCTACACCAGGCTGGGGCTGAGAATACTGAGGGTTGGTTCAAAGGGCAAGTAAGAGGCAAGCCAGTGAAGGGTCCCCCACTCCACCTTTAGTTCCCTGGGAATAGTCTCTTCTTGCCTGGGGCCGGTTGAATAGGGTGGTAACTAGATAGCGAATGAGGGGTGAGCCTTTTGGCACTGATGCTTATGGAAGGAAGCCAATGCTTAAGACTCTGACCCCATCAGGAGCTGGAACCCAGCCCCTGTCCCTAGACTGGCCACAGGGGGGCACTTGATCTCCAAGAAGCGGCTCGATCAGAGCACTGACAGCGGACACCAGAACCTCTTCTCAGTTTGGGCACTGACTGCTGCCAACTGGTCTGGAAACGTGGTGCCTATTCTCACCCCAACCCCTCCATTGTTCTTTTGACCCCTCTCATTTTTTTCCTCCTTTTTAAAGAGGTTTATATTTTTAATATTTACAGAAGTTGAGAGAAGAGTTGCCGAGGTTCTGTCCTCAGCTAAAGGTGAAAAGGTCCTAAGGGTTTGGGGAACTTGGTGCTCCAGGAAATAAGGCTTGGGTTTCTACGGTATGTATGGGCACTCAGTGCCCCTGTCATGGCTGTTACAGCCCTCTGAAGTCCTCCATTTTGTAGTTGCTGTTTCTGACCTCTGTCAGCGCTATCTGGGAGTAATGTGCTCAAGTCCCCAGTTCCCCACGTTTCCGAGTATGTTATGTGAAAGCCCCGGCAAGGACGGACCTGATTAAACTGGAGGAGAAAGGTGGAGCAAGCAAGACTAGGACATTTTTATTTCCCTAGCTAAGCTGCCCGAGGTTCAGTTGCTCCAACAGGAGAGAAAGGCACGGCCGCCGCCTCAGCCCTGTCTCTGGAGGCTGGGGAGAAGGGGAAGCAGTGAGGAGACTGACTGATGTCCTGATGCCCACACCCTACACGGTGGTCATGAAGACTGAGTGGTCCTGTGTCCAAAAGGCCCTCAGCACAGGTCCTGGCATTTGCAAATACCTCAATAAGTGGTGGCTTAAGAGAGTCTATGGGGCCTCTCCCACTGCAGCCAGCCTCCAGCTGAGTCTCTGGCCTGAAGCCCAGGATGGCCTTCACATGAATCAAGCAGGCTATTTCTAGAGCTGGCAGGGGAGGGGGCTTCCTGTCCCAGGAGCAGGCAAGCCAATCCTGTGACAGGGAGAGCACAGGGAAGAGGTTATTCAAGGCGACCTGCATGCCATTGTATTCTGGTTTCCCTGTCCAGAGTTGCCCATGCAGGATCCTGTGGTGAGCAGGCCATCCAGGCTGATGGAAGGGACAGTCTGCCTGGGGCTTTCCTGCTGCAGTGACCCCAGAGTCTGGGGTGCCCAGGCTTCAGTAGGCAAGTTAGGCTCTAGCTGGGTGTGAAAAAAGACTTTGCTGTAGCCCCAGTTACGTCTGTTCTCTTTCTGGTCCCTTTTCTATCCCAGTTAGGCCCGAGCAAGCCTGGCTTGCCAGAGGCTTTAGAGCCATAAAGGCCTGGGTCCAGATCCTGCCCTTGCCTCTGCCTAGTCACATGTGCTTCAACAAGAGACCTAACCTCTCTAAGCCTCGAACCCCACAGGCAGTGATAGTAGTATCTACTTCAAGTTTGCTGTGAAGACAAAATCAGGTACTGGACCTTAGGAGGCCTCAGAATAAATGGGTCATTCATCCTCTCCCTTTGAGCAGGCTTTCCTGGTAAAGGGTCATCCAGACCCAGACCTGTGTTGCTGAAGAGGGCCAAATGAAAGTGGGCTAGGATTAAACCTTTGCCACAAGAAAAGGAAAAGGAACGTGTCCGTGCAGCCGGACTTGGAAAATCTCCTACTAACGCTTCCAGCATGCTCTGTAATAGCAAAGACGCCAGGCTCCAGAGAGAGGGGCTGCCAAGAGAGAGGTCTCAAAACAGATGCAAAACACAAAAAGAAAAAGAAAACCGCCAAAGGACTAGTTTAATTGATAAGATTCATGCATTTGTGAACTCTGGAAAAATGAAAAATGCTTACTGCTTATGAGTTTGATGACAGTGGTTGGTTGGAGATTTTTTTTTTTTCCAGTGGCCACAGATTGACCGGCAGCCATTTAAAATATGTCCTCATGGGAAGGGAAGCTAATGCCTACCTCAAGTTAGCTGATAAGTAGCAGGTAGTTGGGGTCCTTCTTGACCTATGGATTTGCTTAGCACTCAGATCTTTTGATAGAGCACTTAGCCCTGACAGGACTCAGGTTTCCAACTCCATTTGGAAGAAAAGTGAGCATCCCAGGCTCCAGCTGCCCCATACCACTCAGCCAGGTTTTCATCCCTGCCTTCCTTCATCTTTTCTATCAAGGTATAGAGGTCAGGGGCAATTCTGAAATTATATATTGCCCAGGAGTGAAGAACCAGGGCTCTTGATTATTCTTTGAGGGTTTAAAGCCCTCTTTTAAAGGAGATTTTAATTCCTTTTCCTCTGTTACTCTTGGGTGATGGCTCAGTTATATCTCAAGAAATGCCCCCCAGTCACCTGCAGGGGGAGGCATGTTACCTGGTTATAAAGTTATCTAAGTAGGGTTGGCCATTCTGCAAGTTCCATAGTACTTGTCCCTGTGAGGGTGAGAGTGTCCTGAGTCTGGAATGGAGAGAGAAAGCAGCTGAGCTGAGCCACCCTCCCTCCATTCAGCAGCAGCAATGGCAGGAGCACAAAGATATCGCCAGCCTGCCCAATGGCTTCCCCCCTGCTGTAGCCTTCCCGTGGTCCTGGGAGGCTAACTTTGCAGGGCCTGGGGTTTGTACCAGTCCATTCTCACCCTCTTGCCCCTTCTCCCTCCAGTGTATGTGGTAGAAGACCAAAGAAGAGATGAGCTTGGACCATCCACCTGCCTCACAGCCTGCTGGACTGCTCTCTGTTGCTGCTGTCTCTGGGACATGCTCACCTGACCAACCCAGCCATCCGGTCCTGCCAGCTCTACCACCACCTCTGATAGGTGTGCCTGCCCCCGTCTCTTCTGATTGCTGTAACACATGACTAGCTCTGCACAGACACCTCTACCTTCAGCACTCTGGGGTTCTAGATTAGTGGGGGTTGCTGCTGTTTAATTCTTGGTCTTTTTAATGTCCAAAATCCATTTCTTACTGATCTTTAAAGATGTGCTAAATGACTTTTTTTTTTTGGCCAAAGGCTTAGTGGTGAAATATGTATTTATAATTTTAAATTATACATTCAAGGTAGTGGCCAAATATAATACACCATGGAATGATTTCTCTGCTAACACCCTGTATGTTTCAATAAATTTGTCCAAAGCTCAACTGTCTAAATGATTCCAGGTCTAAGCTAAGCACCCTTGAGTCTGTGCTTCTGTCTCCTGGACTGTTACTATTTCTCACTACTCACCTGCTCACTAAGGCTTATAAAATGTGGGCATCTCAGCTAGTGGTCACCATCCAGTATATGACCAGCAGCCAGTCTAACTTTTTATTCTGGCGGTGATGCAAACAGTGCAGGTGCTACAAGGAAGGACGGTTCTGCGGCCAGGTGTCCTCAGCCGGGTGATGGGCTCCTGGTCCAGCTAGCACTTTCCCCCTAGTCCCACTCAAAGATAGGCTCAGGGAGGAGTATTTGCCACAACTTACACCTGCCTTTACCCAGCGCCTAGGAAAGGGCCTTTTGGTATGAGGGGCTGCCCCTGGAGTGGCTTCCAGGCCTGCCCCCTGGAAACCCAGGATCCTACAATCACATGGGGCCATACCAGAGGTTTTCTTTTCTCACTGTCCTCTCCCACCCCTCACCCTAACTAGTCAACCATACCATTCATCTCATCTTTGGCCACAGGGTGGCGATGGGTTGCCACAGCAGCAAGCCTGATTTTCCTCCTTCAGCTGATCCACCCAACCCAGCTGGCTAGAGAGGCTGCAGCTGACAGCTCCCTGCTGACTCTGCCTTCCCTCTGAAGCAGTGGATGTGCTGATAAATGTTTACCAACCTCTCTTGAAAAAAAGAAAACCCAGCCATGTTTTGTAGCATGTCCTATGTCTTTATTTCTGTGGTGTAAGTGTTCCCACCGTGCCATGGCTGATTTCAAGTTACCAATGTGATGTCACTGACTGGAGCTGGGAAGAGCAGCACAGGACCTGCCATCACGTGGGATTTCTGCCACCCAGACACAATAGGTCCAGCCCCACAGATCACAGTCAGTGCATAGATAGAGCACAATCATGGTCAAATGTAGTAATATAATTAGGGATGAGTTTTGAATATTTATTGTCCTTGTTTTTAACCTAATTTGCACATTTACATAATTATAATGGCTGTGTTTAACAACTGGCTTGCAACAAAATTCTTAAAAATTGAATAACTGGCCCACCTGGGCTGGGACCAGCCAGCTGGAGCATACTGCTGCCCTCAGCCTCTAGGAGGCCTCAGGATTACAGTGTCCATCTTATGATATTGGCCTGAAGGAGATGATAGTCTTAGAGGTGCTGCTGACTGTTGAACTTCCTTTTGGAATGTATGGGAGAAGGCAGGAAAAGGAATCTTGAGGCAGACTGCCATCCAGGGACTGCTATCCTGTTCACTTATTCAGCTGTGAAGGTCAGTGTTCTTTCTTCCTCTTCTGTCTACTACATGCAGGCCCGGAAGCTGAGGGGTTAGTCAAAGGTACAGGAAGGGAAAAGAGAAGAGGGCAAGAGCCCATCCCCCAAGGAAGGAAGGGCTCCAACGCAGAGGGAGCAGGAGCTGAGGTGGAGACGGCCACTGCCTCTCTAACCCTCTGTTCCATCCCTCGGCTCAAGAAAAGCAGGCTTAGCAGAGTGGACACTTTATTGGTCTGGCTGGCATGCCTAGTGGAAAGCTCAGGCAGAGCTTCCTATCTGCCCTGGCTCCCATCTTCCCTCTCCTGGTAGTTTATCACACACCCTGAGAGGGAAGAGTGTCTTGGGCCGAGGTGGGAGATAAAACCAGGCTAAAAACTCCAGGGCTGGGAAGCAAAAGGGGCTCAGGGTGATGCAGAAAATGTGACGTTGCCAGGTCATCCAGATGAGGCGTCCATGGGGCAGAGGAGGAGCTGTTTCCCTGCAGAGACTCCTCTGCCCCCACCAGGAATGGGAGGAGCAAGAGGAAGAGCTTCCCAAGAGAGGCTCCCTACTGGGCCCTTCGTGCCATCAGCATCTCCCTGATGTTGTCCTCAGCTTCCTTAACGCTCCGCTCCAGGTAGGACTTTTTCTGCTGCAATATGAGAGACAGACAAAGGTTAGGACCAGAGTGAATGGGCCGAGCTGGAAGACGCAGCTTTTATGTCCAGTGGTTAGGCTTTTCCTTTGTGACCGGTAACTTCCAGGAGCATAATGGGAGCCAGGTACACACACCTGGCCACAGTGCACCCTGCACCTCCCCGAACCCATAGGCAGCAGGGAGGAGATGGCTTTGGTACAGGAAGCAAAAGCATTATGTGGAAGACAGGCAGTAGCACTCTTCCCCCAGAAGGAAGCAGATGCTAAAAAACAGGCGTCTTGGTACATGAAGTTATCCCAGACAGACAAAGGCCAGGAAATTCCAGGACAAAGCTCCTGTCCCGTAACAGACTATCTCCTCTCAAGGTTTTCCACGGTCTGGGCCAGGCTTCTGTAGCCACCACAGCTATTAAATGGACGGTGCATGCTCTACCCCATCCAACAGGAATATGGGCTACTGTGAGGGCTGTGGGGCTGTCTCATGTCACACTGAGTGGGTGAGTCAGGAGGCAATCTGCTTTTCTAATGAGACTGCTGCCTGCCAGGAATCCAGGACACTCACACACCGAGGAAAGCAGACCTTTTGGAGGCTTACCTTCTAACCCATCTGGGTCCTAAATTTAAAATCTCAGCTTAGACAATGAACTTTCACTACTTTCAGGAGCCAGGATTACAAAGATTAGTCAAAGGAAATGATGTCTGTACATTATTTGCCCTGTGCTCATCCCAGAAATATGGCAATTTTACCACTGGTCCTTGCCCTGAGGACATAGTTGTGGCTGTATTCCCAGTTAACAGACATGAAATGAAGCCTCCCTTTTTGAGGAGTACTATTCATGTCCTGAGGGAATACTCAGAATTATCACACCTCCCAGGACACAGGTGACTGAGCCACACTGGAACCAGTAATGCAGTCACCCGGGCAGTCCAGGTGCAGCCAAGGCCCTTCTCTCACCTCAACCCCCTTCACCCAAGCACCTGTTGATTCTGTTCCACCCTAAAGTGCCCACAGGACTCAGGGAAGCAGGGAGAGGTTGAGGCAGAGGCTAGGTGAGCTCTCTGTCCAATTAGTTGTTTGTTTGTTTGTATGCTTTATTTATTTATTTTTGAGACAAGGTCTCAGCTCAGAGCACAATGGTACAATCATGGCTCACTGAAGCCTCTACCTCCCACCTTAGCCCAAATAGCTGGGACTCTAGGTGCACTGGGACTACAGGTGTGCACCACCGTGCCCAGCTAATTTTTTATTTTTTGTAGAAATGAGGTCTCACTGTATTGCCCAGGCTGATCTCAAACTCCTAGACTCAAGCAATCCTCCCTCCTTGGTCTCCCAAAGTGCTGGGACTATAGGCGTGAGCCACCACACCTGGCCATTTATTAAATGATACATTTAGAGGCTTTTTCCTACAGAAGCCAAATGTGGCATACACAAATCTTCATCAGTTCTTCTGTGAACCTCTGTTTCCTATGTGTCCTCTCTCCTTGCTTCAAATTTCCTTAAGGCTACAAAGAGCCCTCTTTATTCCTCTCCCATCTGTCTAAGTTGCACACAGTTCATTGTGACACACAACAGGAGCTCCCTAAGAACTCCTGGTGGCCAGACACCGTGGCTCCCACCTGTAATGTCAGCACTTTGGGAGGCCGAGGCGAGTGGATCACCTGAGGCCAAGAGTTCAAGACCAGTCTGGCCAACATGGCGAAACTCCCTATCTCTGCAAAACATTAGCCAGGTGTGATGGAGAGCACCTGTAATCCCAGCACTCAGGAGGCTGAGGCAGGAGAATCACTTGAACCTGGGAGGTGGAGGCTGCAGTGAGCTGAGATCATGCTATCGTACTCCAGCCCGGGAAACGAGTAAAACTCCAATTCATGGTGACCGTGATAATTCAACTCAATGCCCACAAATGTAATTATTGCTAAGGAATTTTAATTACATGCTAAGCCACATATAGTCCTATCACTGTGATGTCGAAGTGGGAACTTAAACTTCCTTTGATAAACAACTCTTTTTTTTTTTTTTGAGATGGAGTCTCGCACTGTCACCCGGGCTGGAGTGCGATGGTGCAGTATCAGCTCATTGCAACCTCTGCCTCCCGGGTTCACACGATTCTCCTGACTCAATCTCCCAAGCAGCTGGGATTACAGGTGCACACCACCATGCCTGGCTAATTTTTTGTATTTTTAGTAGAGACAAGGTATCATTATGTTCGCCAGGCTGGTCTCAAACTCCTGACCTCCTCGCCCACCCACCTCAGCCTCCCAAAGTGCTGGGACTACAGGTGTGAGCCACGTCGCCCTACAGATAAACAACTCTTAAGACTTTTAACTGGTGAGCTGAAAAAAGGCAAATACTAGTAAGCCCTGAAAGATGCTAAAGAATGTATGTTCACTGGGTGTTGCACAGAGGGGAGCAACAGCTCAGTGCCACACACTACCTGGGCACCCTGTGGACCCCATGGGAATGCAGGGGAAAGGCAAGTGGAATAAGCCTGCTTCTCCTGCAAAAGTCAGCCAGGGCCCAGGGACTCTGGTCTGTTGCATTCAGTCTCTGCCAACTTGCTGCCACAGCTGGCAAAACCATAAACATGGAACATCAGCAAGAGCTATTCTGCCCTCCCACCCAGCCCAAACTCAGGCTGTGACTCTCAGCTTTAAAAATTTCTTATTCTTTAAGATCTCTAACACTTTCATGAATTTTACCACTGCATATCCTCAAGTCTTCAGGTTTCCAAACAATTATGCAAATTAACATATCTATCTATGTTTTTGTTTCTAGAGATGTGGTCCTGTTATGTTGCCCAGGCTGGCCTCAAATTCCTGGGCTCAAGCAATCCTCTTGCCTTAGAGGCATGTGCCACTGTGCCGGCTTCATCTATAAATCTTTAATTAGTTTATATAAACACAATAGACATGTCTTTAAAAAAAAAAATTCCTGACATCCCTAACATAGTGGACCTTTCTAACTGTATTTCAATAATTCCTGTCTCAGTCCTCAAACATATTTAAACCTAGAAGACTCTCATCATAATCAAACTCAGACCAAGGCACCTGTTGTGGGTTAAACTGAATTTGACAAAAAG